CTGATTCCTATTAGTAGATCAATAATCTCATGATCTAGATTATGATCTTTCTGATCTTGCCCCGGCAATAAAGATCTGCCACGCTCAATAGAATGTGATGCGTTATAGAAATAAGTTTATAACTGTTGGTTTTATGATTGGGTAATTTGTCGTGCTTGTATAGGTTTTTTATCACTTTTACCACTCATTCTTGCAAATTTTTTTTGTATACTTTTAATACTTTTGAGTAATAAATCTGAAAAATCTTTATCATAAGTATTATAAGGATCAGTGATGTGTCGAAATAAATTAGCAATTGATTAGGATCAAGATATATTAATAGATACAACAATATAAAGAAAAGACAAAGCATTATCATGTAAATTATTATTAGCAGATAAGTTTTTATTTGAATTATTAGTGGAAGTATTGTTATTGAAAATGGAAACATTGTTATTAGAAGGTAAATTATTATTTATTATTGCAAGTGAGAGCGTTGTTATTAGAGAATGAGTTGTTGTTATTAGAAGGTAAATTATTATTTAAAGTGTTATTATTGTTAATATTGTTATTACAAGCAGAAGCAATGTTATTAGACGAAAAAACATTGTTAGAGTTCATTTCAAAATTTCTTTACCTTTTCCAAATAAAAGAATCAGATATATTTATATATCTAAGAAATAATAAAAATTAATAATGCTGCTTAATTCATTATATATAAAAAAAAAAAGTAAAGGTATGCTTATTTGTCTACTTACATGTAATATATCTAAGAAATAAAAAATTTATATATGATGATGATCATTATATATAAAAAAAAGTGAAAGTATACTTATTTGTTTTTTTTTCTACTCAAATATAATGATAATCTATGTTTCTAAGAAATAAAAAATTAATATATGATGATGTTAATCATTATATACAAAAAAAGCGAAAGTAACTTATTTCATTTGTTGTTTTTTGTAATATTAACAATATATATAATAATTTGCTGAGTTACTATTGATAATTTCTGAGAAAAAAACATATTAAATAATATTATACATAATATATTATTATAACTTACATCATATAAACAATTATTATACTTTGTTTTGATAGAAAAAGAGTTGTTTAAAATTGATATAGATCAATTAGAATCCTTAAACCTCTTTTAATCATTGCTCTCTGCTATATTCTATACCTTCTTTTATAATCATTTCTTATTCAGATTCTTCATAATTGATCTATTGCTTTAACTACTCTTTCTTCTCTTTCTTTTGTTTTCTTTCTCTTTCATTTGCTTTTTTCTCTCTTTCGTTTGCTTTCTTCTTTCATTATTATATTTTTTGGCTATTTATCGCTATTTATCATTGTTTTATTTCTTTCTCTCATTTACTCTTCTTTAATCATTTCATTCATTTTCATTCTCTCATTTACTCTCTTCCTTTTATTTTATTTCTATTTTTTCATTCTTCTCTTTATTTCTTTTATTTTTCAAAATGCTTTTGCTATGTAAATATTGTAGTTAAGAATTTTCTAAAGCTCATACCTTAATACAACATATGTTGCAAAAACATCTTTATATTCAAGACCCAGACTTTTTTGCAAAACTATTAGATAATGATACTTGAAATGATCTAAAATATAGCTATTCTTTTTTGGAGTATGATGCTAATGAATCTATAATATATAGGATAATTATTTAAATATTATTATTAAATTATAGTTATAAATCATTAATAAACGATTATATTTGTATAGAGCAAAATTATGTTAATGTCACCTTTATCCAGATTAGGCTCTTTTATAAACACAGAAAATAACTTCAATGAAGTTTGTAAATTGGTTGTTAAAGAACCCAAATAATTTTTAAAAGGTAATATTATTTTAATTTAGACATTTTTTTGGAGTTAAACACATCTAAATTCTGGTCAAATTAAATTTTAATTTTAACTGTTCAGCCCAAAAAAATAGAGTTTAATAATATCACCTTTCTAGAATTATTTGAATCATATTAAGTTATAAATCGTTAATAAATGATTATATTTGTATAGAACAATATTATGTCAATATCACCTTTATCCAGATTAGGCTTTTTTATAAACACAAAAAATAACTTAAATGAAGTTTGTAAATTGGTTATTAAGAGAAGCACCATTTATCATCTGATTTTTTGCTACTAAGTGGCTACCCCCCTACCCAGTGTTGTCACTCGGACTGGACTCGAACAACCAAGTTTGTCTGCCAGACAAATCTATGTGAGGAAATGTCAATATTACACAATAATCTTTCACCTGGTATGCAATATATAAAAAAATTATTTTACAATACCATGTTATAATTATAATCCAACACTATTTTATTATAATAAAACAGATGTTGGATTATAATCATAATATGCAGATATGTATTAGCGAAAAGATCTGGTATTGTAAAATAATTTTTTTATATGTTGCACACCAGATGAAAGATTAGTTGCATAATATCCTGCAAACAATAATGATAGTAATAAATAAAAATTCACCAAACACCGCTACTAGTTACACGAATTGACAATATATAAGTATAATTTTTTATTTATTTGTATTTGAATTTCTTTTTATTAATCAGTTTTTTCCTTTTGATAGCGTCATTGTTGAAGTCGTTATAGTTTGATAACTGTGGTGTAGCATCTAGTTGTTGATGCCTTGGTTTTTATCGGTGTTGCCATTTATTGGTGCCGTCATTGTTATTATTTGTTGCTTGATGCCGTCATTTCGATTAATGATATCTTCTAGGTATTTCGCTTTGCTAGTGCTGTTGTTTCGATTAATGTTGTCTTCAAGATTCCATTTTTGCTGATAACGAAACTACAGTATACTGGGTGGGTGAAAAGTAGCTGAACAGTGACTTTTTTTAGTCACTATGATTCTTATTTTAACATTTAGTAATCATTGAATTTTAATTTATTGCAAGGACTACTAAATGTTAATGATAATCATAGTGATTAAAAAAAATCACTGTTCTGTTACTTTTCACCCACTCGGTATGTTGATACCATTATTTGGTGTCGTCGTATATTGGTGTTGTGTTTCGCTCTAGCTGATTTTGTCATTTGTTAATGTCGGCATATACTAGTATTTTATTTTTATTTGTACCAGTTCTATCATTTTGTATTATTAGTTGACATTTTGGTATTTTAATAGTAGGTTAGTACAACTACAATTAATTTAAGGTTAGAATTAGTGGTATGGTTAGGGTTAATGGTATGGATTAACAGTTAGGGTTAGTGTTAAGATTCAAGTAGGATTTATTAATTATATTTGTTATGTTTTAGAAACACTTGTTGCGCAATGATGGTTTAGGTATTTTGTTACGTGATATAAATAAATTAATAAAAGTGGTTATTTAAAGATAATAAATACTATATACATTAATCCATAAAACTTTTAAAATTTTACCTCAAACTTCAAAATTAAATGCCAATTACTAATCTATTTTTGAGAAACAGCATATTCAGGAATGTGAAGAAATAAAATTCATGTTACAAAACTCGAAAATGTTTGTGTCCAAGTGTCTGAGTCCGAGATATATTACTTGGACATTGTCTAAGTAACAATATATTCACACGGACAAAATTCAGACTTGGACATCGAACAATATTCAAAAATATCCGGTCTGCCAAATTTACTTGGACATCCAAAAATATACAACACTGCCCTACCTCCCACCTGATCAAAGCTTTATATTATGTATCGTAGCATATTTATACATATAACTAAAAAACTACTATATATATATCTGTACTATATATAATTTTACTGAATTGTATATTGATATATACAGTAATTTATTCAAAAAAAAAACTTGTTTACTTCAAGCCTTTACATATAAATCCAGATTTCCTAGTACGTATATACAAATATATCTACTTTATTTATACAGACGTATGTACTAATTTTATTAAAACAATAGTGACGATAGTTATTTAATGCATATGAGATCTACAATAGTCTGGCCAAATATATAATAAAGTTGTTCTATATATTTATTGCAAATACTATATACAATACGTATAAAAGCAATTTAACTTCTATATAATTTCTAACTTTAAACTTTTTTTAAAAAAAAAACTTCAATGAATCTTAAACTTTTTTTAAAAAAAATAAAAATCGTGATGAATTCTGATCATAAAGTTGTCTTAAAACCTTACAATCATCAATTGCTTGCAAATTTAAATGAATTAAAAATCAGATTTATCATATTTAGGTATAAAAATCGTTTATAAATTTAATTGAATTTTTAGGATTAACTGAGAATGAATCTAATAGTTCTTCTCTAGGTTTTTTTCTTATTACTATCATGTGACCTTTTATGATGAATTCCCGATCTTGCAATTATTCTTATTGTAGTTATACCTGATTTATATATATAATGCAATTAACTAAATAAAATGAACAAATGATTCAAAAAAAAAAATCAATTTTTTTTTCTCTTTAAATGATACTATATTTTTATATGAATGTAAAGGGACCTGTCATTAGTAAATAAAAGGTTAGCCCATAGAGTGAGAACAAGCAAAAATTAACACACAAGCAATACTTTCCTGAAAGCTAAAGTTCTATGATCTTGATTATAAATTCGCACCTAATACTTTAAATACAAAAACATTATAATAAACTAAATACAAAGCTTTTTAACAACATCCAATTTTAGTAAAACTTTTTTTTACAAAAAACCTCAAGATTTGTATCAAACATTTTGTAATGCATATGCATATTACAAGCAAGCGTCACAGTGTAATCCAACTTCAAACTGTCAAAAGCTTTTTCAAAAATATAATTTGACTTGGAAACAAATTAAACATGAAAATAAACCATTAATTAAGGAAAAAATATATGGATATTTTAATACTATTTCTTCATATATTCATTCTTATCAATCAAATTTTATTCAGAATAGAGTAAATAATTCTAATTTTAATTATAATTATACCTCATCTTCTTCATCATTTATAATTAATAATATATATCTGCAACATAATATTGAAGTGCCCAAGAATGCAGTAAGCCAACATGATGCAATTGAAAAAATCAAAGTAGCAAACAAAAAGATATTAGAATACGAAAAAATAGATTAAATTTCAACAGACAGGTCATTTAAAAAAACACTAGAATCAAACATATATAAGGAAAAATCATTAATCAAAGAACAAGAAGCATGTTTGAAAAAACTTAAACGTTATGCTGAGGCACAGGCAAGGCTTGAAGCAAAAAAAACAAGATTGCTCCAAGAAGGTGTAGTAGAGAAGTATGATAGTCCTGGAAGGCTATCAGCAGCAATAAATTACCCAGATTTCTAGAACAAAATTCACGAATGTGTTGAATTTGGAGCTGCATATACAAAAAGGAGAAAAGACACCATTAAAGTGCAAACAATAAAACATCTTAAGCAAGTATTAGAAGAGAAATATAACATATACTTATCTTGTCAATGTGTCTCAGCATATCTTGAGCCTCGTCATTCCTATACATCTGCTGCATGTCATTATCATCATCCTGCTAAGGTTGCCCTTGCCTCTGTAGCACAAACAGATATAAAACCTCACGTTAATGAACACTATTGTCTGGCTTCAGTTAAAGCTGCCTGGGTTTTTTAGTGAATAATGCTGTTATTGTTTCTCAAGACGATAAGGCGAAAATTGGTTTAAATATTTCTACAGTTGGTTATATATTTAAAAGCATACAAATAATCAATGAACCAGTTTCAGTTGCTGATCACGATTTTCCTGTTAGCAGTAAAATGAAACTCATACCTTCTGTTTATCTTGTCATTGATCCAGCCAATTCAAATAATAATTTGCGATTAGAACAACTTGCAATCTTTATTAAACCAGAATATTTCATTAGCACCTCATCATCAACTCATATTTCTAATCTTCAGAGTCTTACCTCTAACCAACGGTTTGCCGCTGCTATAATGAAAGAGAATGAAGTTAAACCCATTTGGGTTCTTCTTGTTAATGGAGGGCCCGATGAAAACTCCAAACATATGAAAAACATAGTCCAATATTGCAATTTTTTTCGTACATTTAATCTTAACTACCTAACTGTTCGTACACATGTCCCAGGCCAAAGTGCTTTCAACCTGTTGAAAGAAGCATGTCTTCTCTGTCTAGAAAGCTTGCTAGCATTACATTACCTGTTGACAAGTTTGGATCACACCTAAATAGTCAAGAAAACATATTAGATGAAGATTTAGCATATAGAAATTTTGAATTTTCTGGGAAAAGCTTGTGTGAAATATGAAAAGGAGATAATATACATGGTAAGCCTGTTACAGTGACAGATACAGGATGTAGGTGAGATTTTCCGCATCACATGATCTCCGACTCTCCGATCTAATACCAAAGTTCGTCATGCGACCCCATGATCGACCAATCAAAATCAAGCACATAATTCATACAGGAACTGTGCCGAAATTGTTTACCAAACTTTGATCGAAGATATTTCGACAACCAATTGATCAAATTCGATGAAGTTTTTTTTATTCGAATTCTACAGTTCTGTAGAATTCGAATAAAAAAATTTCATCGAATTTGATCAATTGGTTGTCGAGATATCTTCGATCAAAGTTTGGTGAAAATTTTAAAACGTATGTCATACAGGAACTGCGCTGAAATTGTTTACCAAACTTTAATCGAAGATATCTCGGCAACCAATTGATCAAATTCGATGAATTTTTTTTTATTCAAATTCTACATTTCTGTAGAATTCGAATAAAAAAATTTTCATCGAATTTGATTGATTGGTTGCCGAGATATCTTCGATCAAAGTTTGTAAAAATTTTAAAACGTATGTCATACAGGAACTGCACGAAATTGTTTACCAAACTTTGATCGAAGATATTTCGGCAACCAATCAATCACATTTGATGAATTTTTTTTTATTCAAATTCTACATTTCTGTAGAATTCGAATAAAAAAATTTTCATCAAATTTGATCGACTGGTTGCCGAGATATCTTCGATCAAAGTTTGGTGAAAATTTTAAAACGTATATCAAAGTTTGGCAAAAATTTTAAAATGTATGTCATACAGGAACTGCGCCGAAATTGTTTACCAAACTTTGATCGAAGATATCTCAACAACCAATCGATCAAATTCGATAAAAAGATTTTTATTCGAATTCTACATTTCTGTAGAATTCGAATAAAAAAATTTTTATTGAATTTGATCGATTGGTTGCCGAGATATCTTCGATCAAAGTTTGGTGAAAATTTTAAAATATATATTATACAGGAACTGTGCCGAAATTGTTTACCAAACTTTGATCGAAGATATTTCGGCAACCAATCAATCAAATTTGATGAATTTTTTTTATTCGAATTCTACAGAACAGTAGAATTCGAATAAAAAAATTATCATTGAATTTGATAGATTGGTTGCCGAGATATCTTCGATCAAAGTTTGGTGAAAATTTTAAAACGTATGTCATACAGGAACTGCGCGAAATTGTTTACCAAACTTTGATCGAAGATATCTCGGCAACCAATCGATCAAATTCGATGAATTTTTTTTTATTCAAATTCTACATTTCTGTAGAATTCGAATAAAAAAATTTTCATCAAATTTGATCGACTG